CCCCCCCCTCCCCTCCCCCTGCCTCTGCTCCCCGACATTTCCCGGCTCCCCCCCGTCCCTTCCCGTCCCCACCGCCCGCACCCGCGCAGATTTACTCCTGCTTACTAAAGTGGTCTCTGCTGCCGGAGCCAGCGCTCTGTAGGAGAGAGGATGACTCGCTCCGGCTTTTGTCCTCTCTGGACTCTGTTTAAGCCCAGGGACGGCGCTGATTTTGATTTTGATTTTTATTTACCGGCAGAGACAATGCCACCCCCCTCCCCTCCCCACCTCTCCCCTTAGGTTGGCAGCAGCAAGCTCAGACTTTTCTTTAAGCCCTGATTTTAAACTTTACGCAGCATTGTCCCCTTTTATTGCACCTCCTCCAGCTTTTATACTGTTTACTTCCTCACTTTTATAACTTACTTTGATCTGTCCTGTCTTTGTCTTCGCTTCCTTCACAAACTTTATTGTCCTCGAAGCTGGGCCTTTGAGTGGAAACGATCCCTTCCCTTGCAGCAGAAGTTTCTAAATTGTACTCCTGTGTTCCCTGTTTATGGACATCCCCGGGACGGCCCAGCAGCGGCTCTGCCTTAACAGATCCCTGCCTGGAGAGGTTCTCTGCTCTGGGTACTGGATCCAGCCAGCTCCGTAGATACCTGCTCTCAGATGGGACGCTTTGATGTTGAATATATGGATGGTAGACGGCAGGAAGGGTACCAGAAGAATGTGGATTCAAAGGAGTCCAGGAGGCGCTGAAAACTGGAGGTTTTGGCTGAAAACTACAGGAGGGGAATTCTAGATGCTCATTGTGCCCAGCTTGCCTGGAACTCGTATATTGCCCAGATGAAAATTTAGCTGAAGGCGAGTCTTCACTTTCATGACTTATAATAGAGTCGACATAATAATTGCTAAGAGTCCCAGAAATGGACATTCTCAGACATCATACAAAGCACGGTTCAATGAAGGGAAAAAAATATATAGGACAGATCTAGATTTGTACTCTACCCCCTTCTCCAACTTCCCAGCCAACAAAGTACAGTTGGGCTGCTGTGTTGTGAGCTCCCAGCAAAATGATTGGTCAAACTTTTTTCGTGTGCCTGATAAAGCGTCAGCCTCGGCGTAAATCAATCGCAGCCGAGGGGGCTGCGCTGCGCTGTCATCCGCCCTTGCATTCCATATCAAGGATGGATTGTTTTATGTTTATGCAATGTTGCAAAACGCCAGGAGTTTCGAAAAGCCACCAAACGGGCAGAGCTGGGGATAATATCCCTGCCTAGATTTGCTCCTGAAATATTGGGGGGGGGGGTAGGGGGGTGGGGTTTTTTGTTGGGTTTTTTTTTTGAAGAAAGATGCTGATGTGCTCGCTTTGCCTTTAATAACCATCATGGGGGAATAGAGATAAAAGCTATTCTTTGCCACTCGGGCTCCAGAGTACGATAGCAAAAGAAGCAGAGAATAAGTACAAATCAACCCGCCCCCCCCGCCGTGATTTCATACACACACGCGTGTGCGTGCATTGCAGGCGTAGATACATTAATGCGTGCGTATAGGCGTTTTTGTAAAGAAAAAGCTGGATCTGGATAGCGAGAGTCGTGGGGAGAGTGTTATAAATAATTAACCAGCTGGGATGGGAGAACGGATTGTTAACATGGTGAAATAACGTGGGTAAATATGAAATTTAAAATGTCGCTGGCACGGACGTGGCGTGGCAACTTTGACCAGGGAGCTGCCGAGTCGCAGCCCCTGCGCGCATCCAAAGCCTGCCTTCAGCTTCACGCTCATATATACATACACATATATATAAAATCTTAAAAATATCTCTGCATATGAACATATGCTCGCATGTCTCGCGGTATGATCTCGGGGTTGCTTTGCTGGGGCTAAAATACTTTCCCACATTGCTGAAATCAGAAGCCTTCATTTCACTTTACAAGGCTAGTAAAACAGAGCGCGCCACTGATCCGGCTTTGTTACAGAATGCCTTCAACTTGTGACGGTTAAATAGTTTAATAAAACTTACATTAGCTTTCTTTGATTTTTATAGCCTTGAATTTATTGCCTGTGGAAAAGAAAGGGGGCAAAAAAAGCGGAATCCCTCTCGTTTTCAGTCGCCATGCCCCCCCCCATGTCTGTGCCCACGGTGTGTGTGCGGGTCCGACCACACCACCCTCACCCCCACCCCCGCCTGTATTTTCCGTGTGTTTTCGAAAACCCGATTTCGAGGTAGTTTTTCTTTCCCTGGTACCGAAGTGAGTGATTGACACCGGGTTCGAGCTCGGTGCGGCTCCCGGCCCCGGTGGTGAGGGGTAACGGGGTCGGGTTTACCCGGTGAAGACGATAAATCCGTTTATTGCGAGATGGTCCGACGGCGTCGTAAATGCTGGTGAAGGGAAAGGTGTGCTCTGTGATTCCGGCAGAAGCCTTCCTCTGGACTTCAGCTGTAACAGTCTGGATCAATTTGCCTCCTTTAATCTATCAGCCCTCCGCCCTTTTCCCTCTCACCCCAACACTGGAGGATATTTCAATTGAAGGGCAAAGAGATTTCTAGGAATGATAAATCGTCACGAGTCCTTCCTGAAGTGTATAGAGATGGAGGTCTATATTAACAGACTAATAATAACACGGAGGGGTGTTAATAGCAGCCTGAAATGAAGGAAAAATAGATTTCGCTTTTCTCTCTCTCTCTGGATGAGAGTGCGCGCGCCTGTGTGTCCATATGTCCGTGCCTACACAAAAAGGATGTGGGAAATGGCTATCAGAGGTGTTTGATACTGGAAGATTGTGAAGGCGCTTAAAAACCTACACCCAAAGCCTTAGGTTTTCCCCTATTCCTATAAGCGGTGCTTTTCCAAGGGCATCTGCCCTGCAGCCTGATGGAGAGACACGCTTCCCCATGCCCTGGACCAGAGCTCCTCGAAATCATCCGCTGTTAGGAAGCTCTGCATTTTCACTTTAAAAAAAAAATTAAAAAATCGAGACGGTCGGGATGATGGGCAAGGAAAGCCAGGGCTCAATGCCGGAGGTCAGATTTATTTTCAGATTTTGCATCTATCAGGGTAGCAAGAACCCTTCAACCAGCTCAGTCCTCCCTGTGCTGGAAAAGCAGATCCAGTCTGCGGGCTCCAGCCAAGGTGAGGTCTGAAGAGTGGCTGGGGAGCCCTCTCCAGCCTCTGGGCTAAGAGCTTGCCAAGCCAGCCGTGGGTAAATGTCACCAGGTGAGTACTCCCCACTGACCTGCAAACTCTCCTCTCCTTTCCAGGGGGGTTAATCCAAAGTAACTCCACTTCACCCCCTTCGCGTTTAAACCGGGGAAGGCAGAGAAATCCCCTACCAGTGAGCAGCAGTGTGGGGCAGGGTGGCTGCTGTCTCCAGTGCATCTCACACGAACAGGGGTTGTGCTAAACAAGGGGGGGAAATTCCTGCTTTTCCAACTTTTCACATTTCTATCTCCTTCCCCCCTCTTCTTTTAACTTCCTTAAGAGTTGGGGAGGTTTTGATATGAAAAGACCCTGTGTCATCAGACGTGAAATACGAGCTGGTCGCTCACGTTGTCATATTTCTCGGCTTTATGGCCTTTCAGAAATGATTTTTAAAAAATCAAACTATTTCGCCAGAGATTCAAAGGGACTCCGCAAATGTTATGAGAGCTTGGGACAGGAAAGGGCTGATTTAAGTGTGTTGTGGAGATTAAACCCGCTTGGCGCATGGAAATGTGTTTATACAACTGATGGATAAACAGCCGTGTTGGTAGCAGGGTGTTGAATAAGTATAGATGAAATTATTGAACGTTAATTGAAGCAAAACACCTGTTCTCTGTTTGCGAGATAGATTGGCCGTGTCTTACCTGTAATAAATATGTTCTTGGAAAAAATCCTGGTTCGCCTCCTATAAATAACGATGAACTATGTCAGCATGTGAGTATATAATTTTCTGTAGTATATAAATTTAAACCAAGAAGACTCTTAGGAGCGTGGCTGTGAGGCAGAAACCGAGGGTTTTCAGATCCCCAGTGAATGGAAACCTCACAAGAAGATCTGCAAAATCCATTTGCTTTTGCTCCTCTGGAGGTTTCCGTTTGCTCAGTAGTTTATTTTTTGATACATATCCCCATAGCTCATCTCTTTGTAGACTTTTCTGAGGGGCTTAAGGCAAAAGACAGCTTCATCCCAGGTCTGCCCGCCTGGACAGACCCCGTCGTGCGGGGCTGCCTGCTTCTGGTGACGCTGTGCGGAGGTTTGGATTCTCAAGCCCCAAATAGAGCCCATCAGAAATTACATGAAAAGCTCCTCTGTTCGCAACAAGATCTTGGAGAAGGAAGTGTCAAGGAGAAAGCGACCTCCGAGCAGAGTCTGAAAGTCCAAAAGGAGGAATCTTTGGGGGAGAGGAGGCAGGATGTGCGAGTGTCGCTCGGTTCGCAAACTAGATTAATTTTAGATATGGGATTATTGTGAGCTGAAAAAGGGAAGTGGAACTGGAAATAGTTATTAAAAAAAAAAAAAAAAGTCCGAAGTGGAAACTTTTTTCTGCTTTCAGAATCAGCGCCAAGTGTATTTGTCTGTGAGGAAAAACTTGGAGTATTGTCAGCTTGCAATGGAAAGCCAGAGGCTTCTGAACTCAGATGCTGTTTATAAATAATCTTTATTGTATGTGGAGAGCAGGAATAATTTCCAAATAGCTCTCTGCAGTACACAACTGCCAAAATCCATCCTTAACAAACAGCTCTTCGGGTTGGCAGTTCTAAGCTGAAAACAACCAAAGAGAAAATATTTTCTAAATATGCAGATTTGAAGCCTGGGCAATTGCCACCTTCTACTGATTTATCAGCTTTGGCATAAGAAAGAAAAAGAGAGGAAGAGCCATTTCTTACCGGAAACATATTTAACCGCTTTTTCAAGACGCTTGTTATCATTTATGAGAATTGGCACCTTCTTCCAGCAGGTTTTGCCTCTCTATCGCTGACACTGGGGAGGTGGGGAGAGCTGGGGGTGCGGAGCTCTCCCCCCCGTCCTGCTGCACTGGGACCGGGGGGTTTCACCGGGGTCTTTGCACCGAGAGGCCGACACGGCGTCGGGGGTAACCTGCACTGCTTTAGGCGTGTTTACTGCTTCGGCTGAGGTTTGGGAGCCGATAAGGGTGCACTAAGAGAGGATAAAAGCTGAGAGTGAACTTCATGGCTACGGAGTGTCTGGAGACCAGATTCTGAGATAACCCAGCCTTCAAAAGGCTGAGCGTTTATTTTCGGCTATATAAAACATTCCGAAATTATAATAATAATAATAATAACAATAATGGTGATAATCACAACAACAACCAGCGAATATCTTCTTTTTTTTTTTTTTTTTTGCTAACAGCCAGGAAACAGAAATAAAATCTGCGCATAAAGCAAACATAATTTATGAATGATGCATTTAGGCGGGTCGAAGAGGCTATGAAAGAAACTTCAGTCACGGAGCCTTCCAAAAGCACGAAAGCGCAAGAAAAAAAATCCCTCCTGAAGAGTAAAACCTTTTTTTTTTAAAAAAAAACAAAGTGAAATAAGTTTCTGCAGGCTGAAAGCCGACGGATCTACCTTTGCCATTTCCTGTGCTCGCAGTTTGAATGCTGCCGTCTGTTAAAAACCCCTAAGTGGTGGTGGTGGGGGGAGAATTCCTTGTCTGAAGAGAAGCAAAAACAAGTTACACATGTGGGCAACTTTCCAAGGACCGAAAGTATACTCTGGCTGAAAACCCCCGATTCTAAATGAGGTTTGTAATCTCAGCAGTTAATAAAGCATTTAGATCCCCTGCAAAGTAAAAGCGTATGTGCATTTGAAAAGGGAAGCTGGAAGGAGAGAAAGTTAAAATAAAGTTTGGTTTGTTGTTCGGGAGCCCACATTCTGGCTACTAGAGTGATTCCCCCTCCCTCTTTCCTTGAAATAATATTCAGCTCCCG